CTTTTGTGAGTGTATTCTTACAGCCACTGTGTCTCCACCACAGGCACACCTTGAATGTGGACTGTGAATAATGCCTGAAAACAGGTGTTGATTTTTAGTAGATATGTGTGTATATTTCTTTGCAAGTACTTATGACTGAAGCTCCCATTACCAAGGTCACACATTAGGGTCAACGACATCTGTCCTCATGCTAGATAAAGGCACAAGCCTACCTGAGAAAGGTTACTACTGTCTCACTTGTTAAAGGGTTAAAAATACTTGAACTCTGAGACACGTAAGTGAAGGGATTTTAAGAAATGAAGGGATTTGACCAAAGGAATGCATGTAGCCTGACTGACAGGTGGATTTTCTTTTCTCCTCTGTATTGAAAGGCTTTGGAAGAGTCAGGCAAACTGAGGAAGCCTGAGGAAGCTTTCTGAGGTATTGAGGAAATACCAAGAACAAATGTATGAGAAATTTTGGAGCTTCAATAATATTTGGGGAAAATAACTATCCCATAGGGTTAAAGTTGGGTTAAAACAATAAAGTATCCTTATATGTGTGGTTAAAAATTAAAATAGAATTATTCAGAGTGGTTTTTATTATGGTACAAAAATTCTGGAGACTACTGATAGCTCACTCATGTGTTTTATGTAACATTGGTTGAAAAGATGAAGAGTGTATAAAAGATAAAATGTAGTTAAAACTAGCTGTGGCTGAGTTGATCTGGAAGTCCAGTTAGGGCCTCTTTCGTAGGGTAGCAACTGGAAACAGAACTCTTATGAAATGACTTAAACTTTGTTATTTACCTCAGGAGAAGTCTAGAGACAATTCAGTGTTAGCATTGACATCATGAGGTTATCTTGAGCTCACTTTTCCTTCCTACTCTCTTGTCCATTATTCCAATAATGCAACCCTTATGTCATTGTCCAAGAGGGTCTTAGAGCTCCAGCCATTACCTCCACATCTTAAATAACAAGACTTTGGAAGAGACAGAAAAAAAGAATGTCTCCTCTTTGTGGGGAAAGAGAATATAGAAATCACGACTTAGTAGCAGCTCGTATCAGTCAGGTAGAATGAAATAAAAAAGGGATATTTTAGAGCTAAGGAAATTCTACAGGCCCAATCCAAACTGCCCAAAAGAAAGCTCTTTTCCTGTGTAGAATGCTTCCCTCTTTGCTTTTCTAACACCTCATTTGTCTAGTTCTAAGTTCCATCTCCTCCAAAAGCCTCCCTTACCCTTCCGGTCCTCAGTTCTCACTGGCAGAAGCAGGAGCAGGAGCAGGACATGGCCCCCTGCTGCCTCTGAACTCTTCAAGCATGCTCTCCCTCCCCTCTGCCTGTCTGTTTGTCTGTCTGTCTCTCCCCCTTCCTGAGGCAGGCAAAGTTCTCACAGCAGGAGCCTAGGGGTTTTTATTTTCCATGCCTTCAGACCTCCAACTAGGCAAATTAAGAAAAAGCTGCTATAAATATGTCTGAGCTTCCTAAAACCCTCTGGGCCTCCATGTCTGTGCTGTGAGCTCCAGAGATTGAATAAACTAAACTTGGATTGTAAAGAAGCCGGGAAAGTCTCTGCTGAACTGATTAAGGGTCTCCAGAGAAGCCCAAAGTGGCTGAATAGTGACCTCAAGGATTCCTGGAAAGCATTCTATCTCCCCTTCCCAAGATTTTGCGGCTCCCTGCATCAAAGAATATTGTGCTAGCAGCACCTTTGACTCAGCTCCAGGAACCTGGAGTCTAGACCTGGCTCTCTCGTGAGGACCAGCTGTGTGACCTTGAACGTATCTCTTGCTCATTCTGAACTTCATTTTCCTCAACTACACAATGAATGTTTTGAATTTGATAGTCTCACATTCTAAGAAGAAGAATCGGACTCATCTTTGTGGATGCATTCCAAAATTTATCATAGTTTTCAAAAGCAGGACTCATATTTATAATTTTCTGGCCATCTCACAAATTCTTTAGCATTCTTTTCCAGAACCAACATGGAACTTGCTTCACACTTCAGAGTGTAGTGTGGCAATCACATTGCTTTGCTTTAATGTCTTTCTTAAATTTTTATTTTTAAAAATATGTATTCAGTACCCATATGGATCTAAAAGCTTTGGTATAAATCTGTTCTTTAATTTCAGTTATGGAAATGGTTTGCTTTTACAAAATCACATCTCTATTCTTCTATCTAGAAAATTTGCATATCTTTTTGCATACCGTAAAAGTTTAAAGAGGAGAAAAGGACATAGTCCTGGGTGTCTTCTTGTAGGTCTTGCCATCAGTTTTTGGAGAGCATCCAGTTCTGTGAATCTGAATGTGATGCACCATAAGTCCATCTCTTGTTCGTTTTGCACGTATGGACATTAGCCTGTTTAAAGGTTTAGCCCTTGCTCATGTCATCAGGGTAAACAGGTCCTCAGATTTCAATTCTTGCATTTGGATGCTAAAAGGTACTAATGATTTTACCAGAGCACACTTAAAGGAAGAAGTACATAAATCAGTTAAATCTCTTCAGGATGGAGATGGGAAGTTTTGGAGCAGTAAGTGCACTGCTCTCAGAATTTGTCTAATTACAGAATCTACTCAATATTCAAAGAACCATCTTATAAAAACTTGGAAAGGAATGGGAGAGGGCAGCAGAAATTATGGAAATTGGAGAGCAAACAACGAGACATATACATTTGTTTTTATTTCACTTAATAACAACATCCATAAAATCACAAGACATTAACATCTGGAACTATCACAGTTAAATGAGTGAAAAACAAACATTTTAAGCTGAAAAGCAGAAAGGGTTTTAGTTATTATATGTGAAAAACTTCTATTTAATACAATCAGCCCTTGTTTAGCCTTCTACATAGAAGGTAAACATAATGCCAGTTAAGGTATAACCTTTGATTATTTCTTAATCTAAATATTATTTTCCAACGTGTGCTTGGTTCTGGGATGTATTTTTAATTAACTTTCATTGTCTGAGAGAATGCTGACTAAAATGCAAGGTAAATCTGTTGAGAAGAAACAAGGTTTTGCGGTGTGTAATGTCAAAAATGAAAGTTGACTCTAGTTGGAGGGGAAACACCACACAAACATCCCTGTTAATGTTCTGTTCTCCATAGGAAGAAAGGGAGAAGTTCACTTGTAGCTCTACACACTCACAAGAATGAAAGCAGATTTGAGAAACATAATTACACTGCCTAGATCCATGCTGACTGGGAAGACAGTCTACTACCTCCATGATAACAAAGATGCTCTGATCCTCTCTGCTCTGATTACAAACCCACCTGCTCAATATTTCCTTCATGCCTCTGCCACCCAACCTCATGGCCCAGTTAATACAAATGTGCTATTTGTAACACAGGGCAATGATACACCTTGAAGAAAAGAGTAAGAATATCATTCACATTAAAAAAAGAAACAACAAAAGGAAAAGATAACAAGGTGGTTAGCTACAAGCCAAGGTCACATGTTTTTCTTTGTCCAGGCATACTACACATATTTACAGCCCCCTCTTTTTTTTTTTTTTTTTTTTTTACTATTCATGCATTTGAAAGCATTTCTTCACATTTTATTCTATTGGCTCCCATGACCACTTCTATAAACTTTTACAAGTATTACCTTTGTCTCCTCAGAGCAGCACTTCCTGGGGCCACATAGACAACAGAACCAAACTTGGTCTAAGAACAAAACCTCGGTCCAAGGTTTTGTATTCCCAAATTCAAAACATCAAGCAAAGGAGGCAGTTGGAAAGTGTGATGAGCCTTTAGTGAACCAGTGGTACCATCCCTAACACCATTAACCTACATGCCTTGTATTGAGCATATGACTTCATTTACACTAGGAAATAGAGACGTGATGATCTACCCCTCCCAAGGCTACCTGTATTTTAAAATAGAAGCAAGTCTTAATACACAGAATCCTCGGTAGGATGGGATTCAGGCATCAAAGACAGAGACACCTTGCCTTCCATTTATACCAATGACTGCTTAGGAGAGAGCCCTTTGCTCAGTCATACTTATGAGCTGGTAAGAATGGGAAAATTGCGTGGGGCCACAGAAGATGATCTATCTACTTTAAAGGATTCCATGCTTCAGAAGCATAGAAATAGGAGAAGGAAGAGAAGGAATTAAGGGGAAGCCTAATTGGAGCAGACCACAATAACTGAGAGGTGAAGTAGCAGCATCTATTACCTAGAGAACCTGAACTCCTATCCTGAGCTCCACATGTCTTTAGAAGTCCTGTTCTGACTCTTTCTATCTATACTCCTCTTCCTCTATCCCACAGTACATAGAGCCAAGGGGACAGATTCACCGTGAGTCCACACATCCTTTGTGCCAAGGACTAAAACTCCATAAAGTCCAGCCAAAATAGCATACAGAATCTGTCCATTCTCTTGATGACAAACCTATTCTCGAAAGCTTGAGGGGTGGCCATTGGCCGGTGTGGTGGGTACGAATCAGAAAGATTGCACAGAATTCGGCTCCTCCCAGCGAGAGTCAGAAATGAGAAGAGAAGCTGCAGATAGTAGAAAAAAAAATCTATTTTATATTCTGGCCCAAGCCTTGCAAATGTTAGGAGTGAACTCAAGCCCAATCATTAGCTGGACAAGAGTGGGAGTGAGTCGCTGGGATGACCCATAGATGCCCTCCCATTACAAACATGTCTCCTGTAACCCTAGCCATCTCCTCTGCCTCCCTTGTGGAAATCCCCTTGTTCCAGACAGTCTGCACCACATTTTTTTTTTCTTGGTTTAAATCCTATTTCATTTTGCAACTCAATATCAGCCGCATATTAGGTTTTCGCGGGGCCTACTCTTAGCACAAATTAGACACTCCGTGAAGAGCACCCCACTAGATACAACGTCAAATCCCATCAGGTCTTAGAAATCCCAAGCTCATTGAGCACAAGGGCTTAACATGGTGATCCACAAATGGTATTGAAAATCAAAACTCGTGGTTGCTGTTCAGATCCCACCACAGAGATCAGTGTTCCCAAAGCCTCGTCTTGTGTTGAATCTTTGCAAAGTCCGTGTGTTATTTCAGTCTGATACAGTCCACCTCTTCGGTGGCGGGAACCCCTGTGGTTTTGAGATCAAGGTCAACGCTGGACTTGCTGCCATTGTGAGATGCCTTCCAGTGGAGCAGCATGATCTTCTTGAAATATTTGATGGTGTTGTTCTTGACGGTCACGAAGCACAGGGTGTTGATCATGCTGTTGCTCATGGCGATGCACTCGACCACGTAGAAGGCAGTGAGATAGTGCTTCTCCTTCACGAACACGGTGGGGAAGAAATCACGCACGATGGTGAAGCCATAGAAGGGCGCCCAGCACAGCACGTAGGCCGTGAGGATGCACATGAGCACCAGGACCGTCTTCCGGCGGCAGCGCAGGCGCTTACGGATCTGCTCGGTCTGGAAGCCCGGCACAGTCTTGAACCAGAGTTCCCGGGAGATCCTGGCATAGCACAGGGTCATGGTGAGCACGGGACCCACAAACTCAATGCCAAAGATGAAGAGGAAGTAGGACTTATAATAGAGCTGCTGGTCCACTGGCCAGATCTGTCCGCAGAAGATCTTCTCTTGGCTCTTGACAATGATGAGGACGGTCTCAGTGGTGAAGTAGGCGGATGGAATGGCTATAAGAATGGATACCGTCCACACCAAGGCAATCAGGCCTGTGGCTGTCTGGCATTTCATCCGTGGTCTCAGCGGGTGGACAATGGCCAGGTACCTGGAATGAAAACACTAATGGAGTCAGACCAAGAGGAGACTGGGTCCTGAATGCCAATTTCATTTTTGCAGCATTCTGAGAAGCAATTGAATGGGGAGCTTCGGACAGGCAGCCATGAAGGGAAACCCCAGCTCTAACTAGCTGTGCAACCTCAGACAAGTTTTAGTTCACCTCAGCTTTCTTGTCTGCCAAAGCTGTGAGTTGTTTTTAAAGATTCCTTGTGATATTGCATGCACTGTTCCTGACAATGTTTTAAACCTGATATATATTAGTTCTTGTTAACAGTATGTGTATTATTCGATGTAGTTACAGTATCTTACATTGGGGTCTATCCAGGAACTATTTCCAGGTTCTTCCCATTCTCATTTGTCCTAAGTATCAATAGGTTTTGAGCTTAAATAGGGCTGAAAACACCCAGGGGTTGATGGTAGAACAAGTCCTTTCCAACTGAACTATTGGGCAACATTTTGTCTGCATTCTGCATTTTTAAAAATATTACTCTATCTGTACAGGTAGAAGAAAAGCAGATTGTCATTGATCATTTTCAGAAGGACGGAGGCTTTGAGACTTTCTAAAAGTTGTACAGTGCCCGGTCATTGATAGAACACATTGAACCCGACTGCCCAGGGTTGAAGTGAAAATCAATACAATACATATGAATATGCTTTCTGTTTTTAACCACAAAGCATCAGGCAGTAAAAGATACTGCTTCTATTCTTTCCATAAGAACCCACACTGCAGTTACCACAGTGGCCCAGGAAAGAGAGAGAGAACACTTTCCGGGCTCTGTGAGTCATCTGTGCGGTATGGCAGCACCCTTCCCAGGGAGCACACACACTTCTGTTGAGAGCACTGGTTTCCTGGAAGACTGCGCATCTGGCAGAGGAGTAGAGGTTAGAAAAGAAAGATGGGAAGGGAAGAGGGAGAGAACGATTTATCAATATTGCAGAACAACAGATTCTCATGTGTTCACAGTTTATCCCAGGTAGAACTGAGTATAAATATGACAGGCTTGAAGGAAGGCCAAACCAGTTCTGTTTCCTCTGAAACTAACCCCTGCAAAGTCATACTATTTGGGATTTTGATCTAAGGAAGGAATCATTCTTGTTTTCTTTGGGGCGGGGTGGTTTGGGGATTTTATTTGTTTATTTTTGTTTTGGGGTTGAATTTCTGCTCCACAAAACAAGCAGCCAACTCACTGAGTGCATTTGGAGAGCTCACTGATGAGTGAGATTCCTGCTTTATTTCCTCTAGCTCTCAGAAAACGTTGGATGAAGCTAGGAGAGTTGAGTCTACCCTCTAGACCCCTAGCTGGCTGCCTTCCTGACCACCAGTTCACCTCCCAGCCACTCTAGGCAGCTGCATGGTGCTGAAAAGGGAACAGGAGTATCTGCACTCTGTGGCCAATCCTTTGGCCAGTGCATAGCTAAGGGGGCTTCATAAAGATCCTGGAGCTCCTGACGGCCTGAGGGCCTCAAACGTGCTCGCCTCACTTTGAAAATCAGAGTACAGACCTTTTGCTGGTGAGTTCAGAGCAAAAATTAGAGTCCAAACCTTCAGACCCTTAACTCAGCTCACTTGCTCTCTATCTACCCAGTGTTCTTCTGGTTTCTATTTCAAAGAAAACTTTTCCCTTCATATTTGCTCATTACAGGGATTTTCTCTGTACTACTTCTACTCCTTTTTCCAAGGAGTAGATAATGCCCTAGGTTCCATGATGCATCAACTCAGAATGTCTGTCAGTGAGTATGTAGAAGAGAATCCATCCAAGATTCTGAAGACCAAGAATTGAGTCTGTGAATTCGCACTTGCTGTGAATTGAAGTCATTTATGCGAGCCCTGATGACTAAACTTACTCATCTATAAGTGCACACTTTACCTGGGTACTGAGAGGTTCCACTGAACTACTGCATATACATAAAAATCATCTGTTAATATCCAGGAAGCTATCAGTATCATCAAATGTGCTATTCAGCATGCCAACAATGTTCTTTTGCCTGTAATTGGAAAATATCACATTTGCAAGTTTATTGCTTTCTGTTTTACTGAATCCAATTCTTTGTATCAAAACTAATCTTCAGTGTTATATAATCCCTGATCTCTCTGACATCACCCCAATTCCATCTCCAAGGTTAAGCAGTGCCACAGGCCTTCCTGATACATCCATCAATAAACAAGCTGCAGATATGATCCATCAATTACTATCACCTTTTGCTAGGCTAGGATCCATAATCCAGAACTCTAGCTTTAGTAATACTTGTTTTTTGTTTTGTTTTGTTTTTTGGGGGGTCCAGTCGTGGGGCCTGAACTCTGGGCCTGGGTGCTGTCCCTCAGCTCTTCAGCTCAAGGCTAGCATCCTACCATTTGAGCCACAGCGCCACTTCTGGCTTTTTTCTTTTTGCTTATGGGGTGCTGAGGAATTGAACCCAGGGCCTCATGCATGCAAGGCAAGCGCTCCACCACTGAGCCACCTTCCCAGCTCCAGTAATACTTTTTTATGTTTGCAAAGAAGTTTAGAAGTCACAGAGGGTTTTAAAACTTGCATTTTATTAAGTAACCAATAATTGAGCAAGATGCCAATTTAATGGATAAGTAAACTGAGGTTTAAGAAATACAATAATCCGTCTAAAGCTACATGGCTAGGTAGTGCTCAGAACTCTGACTCAGATCCACAACTTGCTACCAGCTAGTGACTTTTCCTTTATACCATTTACTTCCTCTCTTTCCATTAAGAACTAGCCCAACCCTTTTTCCCACCTTCCTGGCATCCTAGAAGCCCTCTCCTTTTTTCTTTATCACAATTGATTTCAACCTACTGATGCACAATGAAGTAGTCTGTAGTGAGCAGCTACTTTTCTACATACCTCTGTTCCCGAATGCACAAATGACTTTAGTGACTTAGGTCCAGACCCATCCAAAGCCACCGGTTCTGCTGCTGAGCCCAGAAATGTCCAGGCCTTAATTGGTGTGCTGACAGTGGGCTGGGTGCTTGATTGGTACATTTGGCCTTCTCAATCCCCAGGACCCAACCCCAGGTCTACTCATGGTCAAGACAGATGCAGCTGATACTGGCTTGGTTCTAGGATGGACGGCAAATATGTTCTTGCTTATTGGGGCAGGCAGATCTGACTGATGACCTCCCCAGGAGTATCTGTGCTGCCTTAGGCTGGGTGAGGCTGCTCAGGCCAAAGTTGTCCTCATCAAGCAGAGGAGGGCCTCCCAGCAGATGAACATGCTGGCTAGGTGATCATGCCCTTTGGGATCTCTGGGGGGATATGAGGAATAGATACCTCTCAAGGTCAGTGCAGGCAGTCTCCATATCAGAGAGACGCTCCAGACCTGGCAGACAGAGTTCTCTCTGCTCCTTTCTAACATTGGGCTGTCCCTCTACTGAATGTTGAGATCCTTCAGAACATGGCCCTATCCTTTCTGATCTCTACTTGCCTACACTTCTTGTCCCTGCACACACAGATCCCCAGGTCTCCTAACACTCGGCTCAGACATCCCCGCCTCTAACATTTCGCAAACACTGTTCTATCGTCTTGCACGCCTTTCCTCTCCTTTGGTGATCACCATTTGTTGAAGGCCACATTAAGAGTCCACCTCTTCCATGAGGTCTCCTCTGATAGCTCCAGTACACTATAAGCTCAACCTTCTCTACATGCTCTCCACAATTTACCCTTTCCTTAGTCACTGGCTATCACTTTAGTGCTACTTCTTCCCCTCTCCCTGGCTCTAGATTTAAGGTTTCAGATGGCAGTGAAGCTGTTTTCCTTCCTTCATACATTTGACTGTCCATGAATTCTGGTTACCTAATAGGATTTCAATAAAATTTTATCCTCATCAAGATCCTCGTAGAATGGTGAGACAAAGGACAAGGGGGGAAACAATGCAACAGCAACATTCATAAGACAATATGTTGGAAATGAGCTGTACAACTTGGCGAAGACTAGGGGAAGGGAAAGTAGGAGGAAAATGAGGGAAAGCCTAACAAGTTTGACAAGAAATGCATTTGTTATCTTACTTATGTAACTGTAACGCCTTTGTACATCACTTTGATAATAAAAAATAATAATGATAAAATGAAAAAAAGTTAGCTGGTGATGAGCCACAAAAAAAAAAGAAATATAAGAAGACCATGTTGAGGCTGGGCTCTGGGGTCTCATGTCTATAATCCTAACTACTCAGGATGCTGAGATCTGAGGATCATGGTTCAAAGCCAGCCCTTGCAGTAAAGTTCCCCGTGAGACTCTTATCTCCAATTAACTACTCAAAACCAGAAGTAGCAATGTGGCTCTACCACTTTTGGTAGAGTACTAGCCTTGAGCAAAAGAGCTCAGGGACAGCACCCAGGCCTTGAGCTCAACCCCTACAATGGACTGAAAAAAAAAAAAAAAAACCATGCCAGAAGCTCTCAAAAAGACTGCAACCGTTTTTGGAAAACGTAAGTACTTTTTTTTTTTTAATACCAAGACTGAGACTTGAACTTGGTACCAAATGCTTTTGCTCACTGGCTGGTGCTCTCCCAACGGAGCCACATCTCCAACTCTGACAAAATTACTTTCATACAGCATGAAACTTAAAGTTTAATGTTAGAAAATACAAGGTTGGAAGTTAAGGGAAGGGCGTTAGGCTGTACTTTCAAGAAAATGGAGTTATAATTGGTCATTTAATCAAGGGAGAACCGACATGTTCAAGACAGGTTAATTTGACTGCCATCTTTCTTAGTTCTTTTAAGCCACCGGGGCCTTCTCTCTGCGTTCCTAGAATTCATCCGGTCCGTTCCTGCCTCGGGGCCTCTGCACGTCTAATTCCCTTTGTCTGGGATGCTTTCTCTCCATATTCATGACTCATACTCCCCCATTCAGAGGTTGGTCCAAATGTCTTCTCTTCAGAGACACTTCACCTAGAGTGGGTCTCATGCTCAATCATCCTTGATTTTCCTATGGATGTGATTGTTTTTGTCCAGAATTTTTCTCACCTCTAAAATAACCTTCCTGCTTTGTCTGAAAATTATCTCTCCCCCATCTTTTGGAAATAATCTCCTTGAGGGCTCGTAGCTTCTTATATCTGATCCACTATCAGTGGCTAAGTCCCTGCCATGAACCAACCACATTATAAAAACATGGGATTTGAAAGAATGTATGCATGCATAAACTAAGGTTTACAGATAGCTGGGCAGAGCCCAGAGAGACAAGGAGAGAAGACCACGAAGAGACTCTGACAGTCCAGCTAAATAAACTTGATAGGACAGGGCTGAATTTGACTAGGGAGAAGAAAGAGGAAAGAGAGGCCAGGAGGAAAGAGCTTCTCTAACTTCGAGGTCTAGAAGAACAAAGAACTGACAGCAGGCTCAGAGAAATCCAAGCGGTTCTGTTATATCTTGAGAGCTGTGTTTCTTAATAACCTTGTATGACCATTTTGTCTAATGTACAATGTAATGTAAAAACAATAGTCCTAGTGATCATTAGTGTACCCGGTTTTGTTGTTGTTTTTGGTCTTTTAAGGGTTAACTGAAGAACTATATAATAGCCACTCTGCGCAGTGCTTACTCTGTTGTTTTAAGCATTGTTCTAAGCTATTATAGATACTATTCTACATAATCTTCAAAGCAATCCAAATTATTAGGTTTTCTTTTTATTCTCATTTTATAGATGAGGACACTTGAATGAGAAAGGTCAAACTAAAACAAATATAAGGCCCTACAGCAAATAGATGGTACAGCAAAATAATTCTAACATAGTTCCCATAAGAAGTTTTATTAGACAAATGTGAAAGAGTTTTTGGTGTACTGATGCTTGAACTCAGGGTCCAGGCACTGTCCCTGAGCTTTTGCTCAAGATTAGTGCTCTGTTAGTTGAGCCACAGCTGCACTTCTGACTTTTCGGTGGTTAATTGGAGGTAAAAGTCTTGCTTGAGCTGGCTTTGAACCTCAGTCCTCAGATTTCAGCCACCTGAGTAGCTAGGCTGAGCCACAGGCACCTGCTTCTTCCTCCCTAGGAGATAGAATTTCTCAGACTTTTTGCCCAAGCTGGCCTGGAACCATGAACTCCCCAATTTCAGTCTAGCCTAGGATGACAGCCACCCACCATTGTCCCCAGATATGGGTTAAGAATGGAGTCTCTTGAACTTTTCTGTCTGGGCTAGGCTTGAACTGAGATCCTCTCATTCTCAGGCTCTCAAGTAGGAAAGATCACAAGTAAGATCCATAGCATCTAGCTAGTATTCAAATTTTTATCAATGATTTTCAGATTTGACTTGGTTAAAAGTCTGTGAGACTCATCTCCAAGTAATCTCCAAAAAGCCAGAAGTAGAGCTGTGTCTTAAGAGGTTGCCTTTGCTAGCCTTGAGCAAAAAAAAAAACAAAAAACAAAAAAACCTTAGAGCTCAGGCCTTGAGTTCAAGCCCCAGGATTGGCATCAAACAAAACAAAACAAAAAAAAAAGGAAAAAATTAACTACTGAATAAATGGGTTAAAGGCATGGCTCCATGCTAGAGTGCCTGTCTAGCAAGCCAGAGGCTGAGTACAAACCACAGTACTCCCCTCCCCGCCACCACACACACACACATACACACACACACACACAAATGGAAATTTAAAAAAAAAATCAAACACAGAAGACAAGACAAAAATCAATGGTTCCTGGACCTCAAACTTAAAACTAGCTAATAGCACCACATTAAAATTAAAATCATTTGGAGCAAAGATCACAAAGACATATTTTAACAACACTCCATGCATTGGGGCAGCCAGACAGTCAGGCAAAGCCAGGGGCAGCCAATCCTTCATGCAGTACAGTCTGGATGCAAGCCTCCCCTCAGAAACCCACTTGAAAAACAGCAGCCCTCACAGTGCAGAGCCTGCTCCCTAAGTCATCTTTGTTACTGTATCCAGCTTGCATTATGTAAATTCACTCAGCAAAAGAATGTGTGCAGTCTTTATTTTGGGGGGGAAGAGGACTAGCTGACTTTGGTGTGAAAGCAGGATATGGGTTTAAACAAGTTCAGTAGATTAGTACTACCTTGTATATGTTAGAAACACCCCTGTGCTTCTCAGTTTATCCTGGCTTCCTTTTTTCCTGGAAGTCTCCTAGAGTTGTTATTCCTATTGATAAGTGGGCCATTATGCAGTAAAATGGATCTGCCCCAGAGAGCAGGGGCCACTTTCTGCAGCAGACACTGTCTACCCTGCCCCTAGTAGCCCAGAGCACCTCTTAGTCAAAGAAGTCTTGCTAGCAAGAAACACAGAAAATGACCCTATGGCTTTGACATGTCCAAGTGCTCAGAAACAAATGTAGTCACTTTGAATTTCTGAAAAGGTCAAAGAGGAATCACCTGAAGCTCCTGATGGCCAGCTCTGAGCAGGTCTTCCCTCTGGAAGCAAATACGCCTCCTGCTCCTGCAGAGTTCTTGCCTAAATGGACAATTGTCATGGGCTCTGTGACTCCTATGGAGGACCTAGACCAAGAAGTAGCCCTCCATCAGGATGGCTTGAAGCACCTGCTATGGCTGACAGATCAAGGGCCATTTCAGCTGCTGACTTCTTGGGGAAAGCCGGAAGAAGCTCCACCCCTCTGTGGTTTTAAAGCCCTTTGTGTCAACTACTTAAAGATTAATAATAATTATAATAATTAATGAATGATTGACACACCCTTAAAAATAAGTCTCTTCATGGCCTTTTCCTTAGAAGCCCTTTCCCATGCTCTTGTGAGCCAAGTTCTTCCCTGAAACCCTACCCTGGGGATGGCTTGAATTGATGTCCAAGTTGAACAGGGCAGAGCCCTGAGGCTGTGGAACAGGAAGAGCATGTGTGCTCCTGGCTCTGGGTGCATTCAGATCCAAGCACACTGAAGCCTGACTTGGCCCTCAGGGTACCTGTCCATGGACCATAACAAAGTGCTTTGTACTGAGAGTCAGAAGCAGGCAGAGAAGCTTGCAAAGACTATCCCCCAGAACAAAGAGCTCCCCATTTGTGCAAGTCTTTATCAAATGAAAAGAGTAAGTATCAGAAAGATTTTCCCTATGTGGAAAATCATCTATACAATTTGTGAGTGGAGACAGGAGGGAAAAAACTATGAGAGAGCAAGGGAAGGGATTCAAAAAGAAATGTCTTCCTTACCTGACTTAAGCAACTATAACCCCCTGAACATCACCTTTACAATAACAATATAATATATTTTTAAAAGAAAAATTTGCTGATGATGCTCTTGATAATATTATTTACCATCACTAGCAACAGGTAGCTTGTACTGTCCTGTTTACATGGATATAAAGATAGAAATTAGTGCAACCACAGTAACAAGGAAAAGTAAGTGAGCATATGTTCCTTTTTAAATCCTTTTTTTTTCCAAAATAACTCAATCTTAATCTCTTTAAATCTTTTTTCAAAATAACTCTTAATCTTAAAAGTGAGTTAGAGAGGAGATGTCAGTAAAGGAAGTCTAATGAAATAGAAACTTCCCTTAAGATGTTTTTTATTGTTGTTATTAAGGTGATCTACAGAAGGGTTACCATTTTATGTTAGGTTCCCTTAAGATTTTTAAGTTGAATGCCAGGTGCTAATGGCTCACACTGTAATCCTAGCTACTCAAGAGTCTGAGATCTGACGTTCCTGGTTCAAACCAGCCAGGATGAAAAGTCTGTGAGATTCTTATCTTCAAGGAACCAGGACAAAGCCAGAAGTGGAGGTTTGGCTCAAGCTGTCCAGTACCAGCCTTGAAAAAAAAAAAGTCAATCAAGGATGCAAGGCCCTGAGTTCAAGCCCTAGGAAGGAAAAAAAAAAAAGAAACAAAGAAAAAGATTTTTAAGTTGACACAGAAATAGCTGCCAGGAACAGAACTTAAACTTGCTCAGCACCTCCTCTTCCCTGTCTCCTCTAAACCTAACAGCATGTACACAGGAGGGTGAGCAAAAGTCTTCCAAAACCCAGCTCTAAGAGGCTTTGCTACCTTCTTTCTGACCAAAACTGGGAAGAACTCCTCACACTGTTCAGCCAGTGGGTGAACATTTAAGGACCTCATGCGTCTGAGGGATTATAGACACTTCCCATCAGTGCACAACTGATGGGAAAGAAACTCAAGGGACTCTCCAGATGCTCCTTCTGCTCAGCCACCTTTGTACTATTCATACACTCACCTGTCGATGGCGATGGCCAGCAGGGCATTGGTGGAGACATAGAGAGACACGGTGCGCAAGTAATTGACAGAGGCACACAGGACATGGCCATGCTCCCAGGAGAGCTGGCGCACCACATAATAGTCCATCTCGAAGGGGCAGCAGACAATGGCCACCAGGAAGTCAGAGATGGCCAGGTTGGCAATGAGCAGGTTGGTAAGGTTGCGAAGCTTCTTGTAGCGAGCCAGGGCAGCAATGAAGATGAAGTTGCCGATACCACAGACCAGCATGATGCCCACTAGGGCCATGCCAATGACGATCTTGGCAGCAAAGAAAGTTCGAGAATTGGTGACATCTTCATCTTCATCCATAGGCATATCGTAGTCACCATAGCTGAAGTTGAAGGGGAAGGAAGCAGCTTGGACTCCATAGGAGTCGAGCTCAGAAAGGAAACTGGAGGATACGTTGGTGGCATTCTCAGGGGTGACACCCACTGTGATCTCCATTTGGGCAGTTGGGGCTGTGAGCAACACTGCCGGGGATCCTTTAGAGCAATGTCTACAAGGCTGGTCTCTCTCCAGTCCGATGACACTTAGCCCACTCTTAAATTTAAGTTAATGTCCTTGTCAGCTTTCTTTCCAGGGCTTCAGTGTCCGAGCTCCATGCTAAACCTTTGAAAGAAACACACAGAGTTGCAACATGGTGCAGAGAACCTAGCTGAGTTTAAAAATCATCCTGCAACCTAAGCAGCCCCATTAGCTACCTGCTCAGAGTGAACAGCCAGTGGTAGAGTGGAAATAAAGGAACCAGTAAGAGAAAACAAATGAGTGAAAAACCACATCGATTCACTCACTCTGGGAAGGCTGTATGGCTGGAGAGACCATTGGCTCAATTCCATTCCACTGCAGACTCAGTCATGCTGCACTTTTCCTCAAGGGCCCAAGTTGGGACTGTGGAGAGGCTGAAGAGACCAGAAGTGACCAGATCCAAACGCTGAGCACTATCCTGACAGCCTGATCTTAACATTCACTCCTTCCTGTGGCTCCAGAGAAATGATTCAATACCATTGAAGACAGGGTGGGGGTTGGGTTTCAGACAACTCATCAGCTCCCTATGAGTTAGTAGTCTGACAAAACTGAGCTATAAAATCTCAGAGCCTTGAGCAGCCATCATCCCTCTTCTCACTGATCAAAATGAGCTGTGACCTGTAGTCTAGGGGCACAGTATTTACCAAGGCCTATCCCCAGGCAGAAGCTGAAGGAGCAAAATCATGATCTGTATAGGTTTAAAAGGGGATCTGAGTCAATCTTCCTTAGCTGATGTGGTGGATAGCTTAAACTTAATTCAAGGGTTCAACCTCCTCCAGGAAGGGGATCAATAATGTCTATAAAACAAGGCAGGGTTACAACCCCGAACTACAAGGAGTCACTGTTGAACACAGGCTCTCTGCACTCTGACCAGTATGAGGAAGGGAGGGAAATCCTAGGCATCAAACCACACAATGGGGCTGCAGACTACTTGTGGCAAGAGAGAGTTTGTCATCTGGGGACAAGAGATAAAGCCAGAGTCCCCTGTCCTCTGAGGTCTTCCTGAGGTCTCCTGGAGTCTGAGAAGGAGTTGCCTATCCCCTGTTGTCATTGTGTTGGATTTTGGTACCCTGAGTATTGTATAAACGTTTATTTGAACTAGGGACAACAAAATGATAAGACAAAGGACAAAGGGGGATCCTATGCAATAGTGATACTCACAAGACAGTATGTTGGAAATGATCTGTACAACTTGGGCTGAGGGGGGGGGGGGATTGGGGAGGAAGGAAAAAGGGAGAAAAAATGATGGAAGGGGCAACAAGTTAGACAAGAAATGTAATCACTATCCTACTTATGTAATTGTAACTCCTCTGTACATCACTTTGATAATAAAATTAGAAAGAAAAAAGAAAAGAAGGCAGGCAGGCAGGCAGGCAGGCAGGCAGGCAGGCAGGCTGTCTGAGTTCTGGAGAGCACCCTAAATGTTAGGAGAAACCATATATGCCTGTGATCCCAATTGAGATAAATAATCCCAGTTTGAGAGTTGGGAGCAAAAAGATTGATTTCCAGACTAGCCTGGGCAAAGTGAGACTCTATTTCAGAAAGAAAATACAAAAAGGGGCCGAGGGCATGATTTGGTAGAGACAAGTACCAACAGCAGTAACAATAACAAAGTCAGAAAACAAAAGGGAGAGAAGAATGGCAAACCTGAGCTCCTGGAAAAAGGAGACACCTAACCCCCAAAGAAAGCTTGCTGGTCATACTCTGTTCAAAGGCAAGACTTCTGGGGCCTGTCTGGGGGAGAGGGGGAAGTCCCTCTGCAGCTTAAGGGCGGCCTCCTCCTCCACCCACCCGAATCTCGCCCTTCCAGGGAGCTGCCAGTTTTGCCTGTCCCAGTCCTTCTTTGCCCTGCCAGGTCTGAGACTCAGAAACCAGAGCTGAAGAGCCAAGGCTAGACCCAAGACAGCAGGGCTGCCATCATCCCAGCGGGGTACCCCTCTGGCCCGCGCCCCCTCCCTCGGGCTTCCAACTGGCATGCCACTCCACCCCAGAGGGGTACCCTGCAAAAGCACCCTACTGCGAAGGTTCAAAGTCAACTTTCAAAACAGAATAACCAAAACTTCTAGGAAAAAGTACTAGGGGATGGAGGCTTTAAAAGGCAAGTCTGGCGTCTTTTCTCCTGTGTCCTCAGCTCCCAGGTGGAGGACCACACTCTCCCGCCCCCCCCCCCCCCCGCACCGTGTCCCCCACTCTTCAGCTCCTATGGATGGATGAGTCTTTGCCTGCGTCCAACTTTCATCTGGGCGCCTGGCGGCTCTGCCCGAGGACAAAAGTAGGAGAGCGCGTGTGCTTTCTGGTAACGACATGCGCACAGCAGAGTCCCTGGGAAAAAGTCCCTCTGGATTCAAAGCCCCCCACTCCCCGACCCCAGCGGCGGGCGCCACGGTGGGGTCCGGAAGCATCTCCCGCGGGATGGGCGCGCTCCATACCTGCAGGATCCTGGCGTCCAGCCTCCTCCTTCCCGGCCCAGGACCAGCGATGCCCCCCGATGCCCAGCGGCACGAGGCCGGTGCCCTGTCTCTCCTCGTGGGGACTCGCGCTCGCTCGGTCGGATGGCGGTGGCGGCTGGGCGCGAGTCCAGCGAGCTGGGTCCGCCCCGCACTCGCTGTCCCCGCCTCTGGGGGTCGCCGCTGCGGGGGGGTGGGGGGGCGAGCTTGTCCGTGGAGGGCGTGGGGGGGGTGCGCTGGAGTCTGGGGCCCCAAGTAGGGTTACGTCTTGGGGTCGGCCAGGCACGCGAGCAGGTGGGGGGCCCGGGGTGGTCCCCCGGCCGTTGTGCCGAGGACGCCGATTGCAGCTCGCGGAGAGGACGCGCCGGAGGGAGCGGCCGGCCGGGCGGCGCGTTCCCGGCTCAGGCTCCAGAACCGCCGCCTCGGGCTGGAAGAAGGGCGCCCGTGCTCGGAGCAGGGAGGACCGGCCGGGCCGTGGCTGTGCCCGCTCCGGGGCACGGGACTCCAGGGAGAGGCTCACCTGGCCGGCCCGGCGTCGCCACCCGTGGGCGGACACGGCCCCACTGAGCCGTGCGCTTTCAAAGGACGCAGGAGCCTCGGGGCTGCCCGCGACACCGCCCTGGCAGGATGCGCGCGTCCCTCCGCCGGCCGAGCGAACACCGGGGGCCTCCGCTGTCAGTTTCTGCACCTGTGGGGGGAAAAGAGGCTCAGAACTAGAGAGCAGAGCAAATGGCCCGGGGCGCGCGGCGGACGGGGAATGTCAGAGGCTCAATAGAGAAAGGTTACCCCACCCCCAGGGGTATCTGTTCAGAGAAAGGCTGAGATGACCAGAGCTGGCTCAGAACACAGTCTCCCTTCCAGAGCCTACAGATTCCTCAAAACATTAAATACAGATTTATGACAAGATCAGGAATTGCACTCTGAGGAATGTAACCGTTAAAGAATGAAAAGCAGGAATTCATAGCAGGATTATTCACAAAGAATAGAAGGCAGAAACAATCCAAAAGTCCAGCGACTGGTGAATAGATAAACAAAACACAGTTGGTATATGTGGTATATATGCCTATAGTAATGCCATTCATCCATATGAGGGAATGGAATATATATTCCACACACACACAGAATACACACACACACACACACACACACACACACACACACACACACATTGTTGGTGAGGGATTTCCCTAAGCCCTTGGGTGATGGTGCAAATGTAAACAGGTGTGGCCCCTATGGAAAACAGTATGGAGTCAAATAATTAGACTTCCCATATGGTCCAGCATTCCTGCTCCTGGGTAGATATCTACAATTGATTGTAGTGTCTCAAGGAGATGTTTGGGTGCTCATGTTCATAATAGCATTATTCATAACAGGTAAAACTTGGAGAAACCCAAGCATCCATCGGTGGAAGAATAGAAAAATAAAATGTGATAGATACACAATGGAATATCATTTGAGCTTAAAAAGGAAGGATATTCTGTCATCTGTTTATAATGGTTCCAGAATGTATCCTTTAGAAGACAGATCTATCTTCAGGACATTGCACTAAGTGAAATAAGCCAAGTATAAGAAGACAAACTCTCCACGATTCTCATATGAGCTACTTTAAAGGAGACAAATTCATGGAGGAAGAAAGTAGAGCAGTGATTGCCAGAGGCTGGGAGAGATAGGGGATTTGGAGGGTGTTGTTTTTTTGGAAACTAAATGACTCCTCAAGGCCCATATGCTTTAATCACCAGCTTATATTGCTAATGAGAGATGGTAGTCTTCAAGAGATGGGGCCTAGTCGTTGGAAGTGAGGTCACTGGGACTTGACCTGGAGAGGATACTGGTAAATTAGGAATCCCATCCCTTCATCCCTCCCCTCTTCTCTCTCTCTCTTCCCTTCCTCCTCTGTCTCTCTCCCTTCTCCCCTCTCTCTCTCTCCTTCTCTCCTTTCTTTTGGCTGCCATGAGTAGTTTTGTTCCACCATGTACTTCCTGAATTATGTTTTCAGATACAACTGAGCCAAACAACTATGCTCTGAAATCTTTTGAAACCATGAGGTATTATCAATCTTTACTCCTAAGTTGTTTTTCTCAGGTATTTTGTTATAGTAATGGAAAGTGTGTTCTTGTTTAAGCAGCGCAGAAGTCATGTTCTCCAAAATGAAAGTTCTGGAGATGGTTGGTGATGATGGTTCATAACAGTGTGAATATGTTTAATACTACTGATCTGCACACTTACAGACAGGATGGTAAAAATGTAATGTATATACCTTTCAAACACGATAAAAAGAAATTAATGAATGATGTGGGTAAACCTTGAATACACTATGCTAAGCGAAAGAAGCCAGTCACAAAGGCACATATATCACATGATTCAACAGAGCTACAGTGCCGAATAGGCAGATTCAGATAATAGTGGTTATCAGGAGCTGGGTAGAGGGAAAATGGGATATTATTGTTCAGAATTTCTAAAACTCCTGGAACT